GGTCTCATCCACCCAGCTCCCGTCTTAAGTTAGTACCTTGATGCTTCCACCTGGTCCTCGTCCTCCTGCGAGCACCTGCTCAGAGTTATCTCTGTAACTTAGGCTTTACATCCTAAATTTCCCCCCATCCGTTATTCTAATGAAGCCTTCCTCCTCAGCTACTTGTCCCTCCCTCTTTAGGTGAGGGACTTAAGGATCTCACAGAATACAAGTAACTGTTTTCTTAAAGTGTGGGTGGGAGTCCATTACTTTAAACAGTGGTGCGCTTAGGTGCTTCGATTTTCCTGGGGCAAAGTGTTGTATTAATGCAAGCTCTGTAGCCTGTTTTCTTAGAAAACATTGGGGCGTTTGGGTGTTTTCAAGTCTGGTAAAGAAAACGTATCCCGCCTGGGGGTAATCTAGAGAGCGTTGGAATTATCAAGTTGTGAAATCAGTGGGCTTGCAGCCTGAATCTTGAGGGCCTTTAGTGGGTAACTTACTCTTTTGATCATCTTTATGAACTTTCACGATATATAATCTTTTGTTCCATGGCATAAAATCACTAAAGAGTTATTTAATTTTTAAAGAAAGAATAGCCCCACGTTTTGCTATTGAAGCAATGCAGATGTACATTGTAAATGCAAAGAATGACAAATGTAAAAAAAAAAAAAGAATGGCATATGTATGATAGTTGCATACTTTTGAGTAATACCAAATGAAAAGGTTACCTTTTACTGTTTCTACGGGACAGCATTGCTTACACCCTTAAACACTCACACCCACTCGGCTTAAAAGAGAGAGAGAGAAAGAGCCATCATCTAAAATCTTCTGTGTACATTTTGTTAAGTATTATGAAGTTTTCAGCAGAGTGGGTAAAAAAAAAAATCAACAATGTAAGTTATTCAAAAACCACTTAATACTTGAAGAAAGTCTGAAAGTAGTTAACTTTTTTAGTCTTGAGACTGTAGCACACACATCATGGAAATCTATTTTAAAGTGTTTCCACAGATTTCTGATATTTTGGAAGTTGCTTTTGGGCCCTTAACCAAGACAGAATTCTTTGCACAATTTAGCAACAATTTGTTTTTATTTCTGATAGGGAAACCTGTAATAGCAGACCAAGGATGTTGTGAGCAACTGCTTCCAAGTGATCTGTGAATGTCTGATGTGCTGTGAGCACCTTCCAGTGATTTCTTTTACTTTACCTTTTTTATTACTAAGTGCTTTCACATACATTCCTGATCCCCACAGCATCCTCCTCAGGTCTTATTATTCCCTCCTGTCTTTACAAATAAATGTAAGTCACAGAGCCAAATAAACTTGTCCAGCACCACTTGGTCAGAAATGTGAGCGCCAAAGGGAGGCAGTGATTTTGTGTTACCTGTTTCCTTGATGCCGTTGATACGGCTTACTGGGATATGTGCATGTGTAAGTAACTGTCACACAGCCAGGTGGGGCTTTTTGGGGGGGGTTGTTTTTGTGGGGTTTTTTGTTTATTTTTTGTTTTGGTTTTTTGAGATAGTCACTGTATAGCCCTGGCTAGCATAGAACTCACTGTGGACCAGGCTGGCCTGGAACTCACATCCGCCTCCTTAATATGAGCTGGAAGTCATGAAACGCTGATATGTTTGTGAAGTGGGAGTATACTTTATACGAGAATGGACTTTCAATAAATAACATTGACCATGTATGTGTCAAAGTTAGAATATAATCTGGGAATTATTTTCTTATCCAGAGTATTTTTCAGAATAAGGTACTCTTCTGGGTGAATGAAGTTTTAGATACCCCTAACTCATTTTTACCAAGTACAGCTGTGCTTTAACAGCTCTCATTGGCAATCTTGGGTGGACTCCCTTGGCAAACAGTGTAGTTGTTTATTGTTGTGTGGATGTAGTTGTAGATACAGATCAAAGTTGTTGACTTGCAATATTTGTACACCGTCACAGATGAGAGGTCTTGTGAACCTCTGAAATCATATTCTGACGTTTATGAATGTGTATTAGTAAGACAGAGGGGACATGGCTTCCATCCATTTCTCAGAGCAGTGCGGGTTCTTTTAAGGAGCAGTAACAGAAGAATTGGAGGCTAAATGGCTTCTCTCCCACACCACTGTGGCTTCCCTGAGCACCGAGACTAGCTTTCTCTTAAGTTTACTAAATTCTCAGCACTTATCAATATCTGTTAGTACATGTTGCTTTGATGGAAGGACACTAGGAAATAATCTTGGATTGAGCAGATATAAGGTGAGTTTTCACCTCTCTCTTCTCCAGAAAGCTGAATAAAATAGATACAACTTTTAAAACATTGTATCTTTATTTAAATGTGTGTGTTGTATGCAGATGTTTGTGTGCACATTCTGTGTCCATGTGAAGGCCAGAGAAGGACACAAGGTGTCCTGTTCTATCTGCTTTATTCCCTCACTGAACCCGGAGCTAGGCTGACAGCCAGCAGACCCCCGTGATCCTTTGATGTCCACCCCTCACAGTACTGCTGTGACAACTCTAAGTAGCCACACCTGGTTTTTACACCTGGTTTTTAGGCACTGAGGAGGCAAACTCGGGTCCTCATGCTTACACGGCAAGCTCTCTCATCCATTGATCCAGCTCCAGCTCCAAGACGTTCTATCTTTCAGAAAGGTGATTATATCAAAAGAATGAGTAGACTTACCAGAATGTTCTTCATACCTTAGCAAAGTTTTGTTGTCCTGTGCTCCATTGACTTGTCAGCTTTTACAGTGACACATCCGCCTGTTACCAGTGGAGAAGATCATGGGCTTCTCTCTGTTTAACCTATGTCCCAGAGCACTGAAGAAATATTTTAGAAGTCATTTAATCCCTTAATTTAAATAGATGAGGGAACTTCCACTACTTTTTGCTTTTTGAGACAGGGCCTCATTATGTAGCCCAGCTTCCCTGGAACCCTGAGCTTCCTAAGTACTGGGGTTTCCAGTGTGCACCACCACCCCTGGCTGGAGGAAGAAACAAAAGGCTTAGGAAGGGAATTTACTTGCTAAGGGCCACATGGGTGTAAAGCTGGGACATGACCAATATCTGGCTGCCACTCTGATTTTATTTCCATTCCAGTTTGCTCCTGCATTGTTCTTTTATTTGTTCTTGCTAACCAACCCTAAATGAGATCATATCCATTGTAACTACTACAATTTTGACTTATCATATTGCCAACAGGTTTCTGTTTGAGCATATACTGTGCGTCCCACACACTGCTCATTTCCTAGGGCTAGTTTATTACAGTGTATAAACCAACCCATGTAATGCAGCTAGAGGGCATACAGCATTGTTAAGCTCTAGATTGCAGACCATATTGTGAGTGCTGCTGGGCTGGGTCCTGCTTGTATTGTTCACCCCCCCTCCCAACTTCAACAGTGGTAATGTCATATTGGCAGCCTGAAATCTGCTGCAGTGAGAGTTACTGGTAAACACTATAAGTCAGAGATTCCCTGCCGCTTTTTTTGTTTTGTTTTGTTTTTCCTCTCAAGAGCCAGTATACTGCTGATCTTAGAATTTAGAGAAAGGGAAAGTTTAATGAGATGGGATTATCAACTGAAGGTTTCATTGAAACAGAAAGGGCTATAGTGATATGAGCAAAGAAGAGGGGTAGTTATAAGTCTGGAGAGGTGTGTGCAGGGGGGAAAGGCAGCAAGGAAAAACTCAGAATACTTTGGAGGCAGTAGGAAAAAGGGTGTGAGCTTGTAAGGAATTAGAAGTAGATGAATTTAAATTAACAAGCAACTGTGTGCAAGATGCATTGCTGCAACCTGGGAAGATGCTACAGTAAACTGTGTGTGAGGTGATGAGAGAAATAGCAACAGTGAAGTGCCTTGAAGAAAGTAATGACTTAGGAGGTTTGGAATATTTAAGGTAAAGTGATGAGTCTAGAATGACTCAGTGGTGCTTACTGTTCCTGCAGGGGACTGAGGTTCATCTTTCAGCACCTGTAACTTCAGATCCAGGGTGTCTGGTGCCCTCTTCTGGTCTTTATAGGTACTTGTACTCACATGCACATACACACATAGCAATAATTTTAAAAAATTAGACACTATATTGTGTGTGCATTAGTGTTTGCCTGAATGTATGTCTGTGCACACATGCATGCAGTGCCTGAAGAGGCCAGAAGAGGGTGTCAGATCCCCAGGACTGGAGTTGACAAATCATAGTGAGCAGCCATGTGTTGGTAATTGACTCTGGGTCCTTTGGAAGAGCAGCCAATGCTCTTAACACTGAGTCATTTCTCCAGCCAAGATAAGTTTTTAAGATGAGACCTATTAATTTCAAGTGTGGAGGACATGCACTTGAAGACATGCATGTTGTTAGAAATAAGAAGGGTGGAAGCCAGGTATAGTGTACATGCCTGTTTATCCTAAAATCTGACCTCAGGCAGGAGAGTCATTGCACACTCAAGACCAGCTTGAACAACGTAAGACCCTGCCATAAATAAACACAGAGAGAGAGAGAGAGAGAGAGAGAGAGAGAGAGAGAGAGAGAGAGAGAGAGATAGCGTGCCAGGAAAACAGTCATGAATGCCCTCAAAGACCTGTTAATACTTGGGCAGAGATGTATTGCTATGTTGTAGGTATACTCTGTTATGGGTGATAATGAGATCTCTCAGTTAAAGACCTATGGAGATGAGAAATATAGAAGCCATTATTGTGAAGCTAATTATTTACCTAGAATGAGGATTCCTTCCACAGTAGCACACAGTAACAGTAGGGCAGAACCTTGGGGTCCCGGCATAGCTTAAGAATAGGAAGTGGGAAAGAGGATCAAAAAAGATAGG